AATAAACACTCTCTCGTACATCTTAGCCTCCGGGGTCGTAGGGTTGGGATTGGGGTTTAGTGTTTAGTTTTTAGAGCACCCCGGCTCTCGTACATCTTAGCCTCCGGGGTCGTAGGGTTGGAATTGGGGTTTAGTGTTTAGTTTTTAGAGCACCCTCTCGTACATCTTAGCCTCTGGGGTCGTAGGGTTGGGATTGGGGTTTAGTGTTTAGTTTTTAGAGCACCCTCTCGTACATCTTAGCCTCCGGGGTCGTAGGGTTGGGATTGGGGTTTAGTGTTTAGTTTTTAGAGCACCCTCTCGTACATCTTAGCCTCCGGGATTGTAGGGTTTTGGGATTAGGGTTTCTTGATAAATGAAGCACCATGGTGCGTGGACTTGCCTGCTGAGATTCACCTGAGGGATAATGTGTTACTTGTACTGCCCCCATCATGATATTATATATACAAGCAACTTGATATTTGAAAAAAGGATGATAGATTTTGACAAAGTGCAAAGTGCAACAATGCAATTACTGCACTGATCCATAAAATAAATTTTAGGTGTGGTCAGCACTTAGCAGTACAGTGCAAACATGGCACGTGGGTAGGAGAAAGAAGAAAAGCTGAAATTTATTTTAGCATCTGAAGCTCTATTCAAAGAAAGAGTAAGCACAAAAAAATTGCCTAGATATTGAGATAGTTTGGTTGCTCCTGTTTTCCCCAGTGCTGCCTGAAAATTTTTCGAAGAGGCTAAATCACAAACTTTGAGCAACTGTAACTCGCAAACAAAAAAGAGATTAGAAAATTCCCACATATTTTTTAATCTATGTACTTTTCTCTACCTATCGATGCTAATCTTGACCAAATAGAGTGAAACACGAAGATTTGGCTAGGAAAAGTGGTACATTCTTGAAAATATTCGGCTTTTGCTACCACGGATTGCTATGAAAACACAACGGAGCTAAATAAATTATCTTTTTCTCAAAGCTTAAAAAGAATTATAACTCAGGAGAGCTCAGTAAAAAAGATATTGACTAGGAATTAACAGGAATTTTCGTGACAGAATGACAGAACGAGAGCACTAAAGTGCATACCCTCGCCACAGTCTGTGTGTAACAATTTTAATAAATTAAGAGAAAAATAATTAGTGAAAGTTTTGACACAGAAAAGAAGCTTCAGCATGTAAAAACTTAGTGAATGTTTTAAGACAGTGAATTTTTTGTTTTTTAGACAGAGAAGCTCCAGCATGCTTGCTGCACTGCTGCAGCAATGTAAAGGTGTGGCTGCAATGAAGGTGTGGCTCAATCAAGCCATGCTCCACCCGCACACACAGTAATGGTGGCACATGGCTCTAAGTGGTGAAGAAAGCTTTACTTTTTTTTCGACTTTTAAACAGTTTAGCATACATTTGTTAGGCTCTATTTGTTGCATACAAACGTCTATTGAGCCCCTGATGTTTAAAGACTCTGGCCGCTACTTCAGGAGAAGAGAGCCTCGTGTAAACTCACAAAAGTATGAATTTTTGGGCTACCATATCTTTAAAACGAAGATGATTAGAGCAATTCCTCTCATATTAATGAAAGATGAGGCTTTGCTTTATTGTTTTATCTGCCCAGTTGCTCTTTTGCTCACACTATGAAAAAGTTGTCGGGGAACAGACCTACGTTTGGCGACTTTGCCAGCTTCTTACTCCACGGAAAAGAAAAGTATAGCATTCCCAAGACGGAGAATAACTTTTCCTAGAGCCAGTGTTGATTATAAGACTCTCCAGGACTAGACAAGAAAGCAGTGTCAGCTCAAAAGTGGAGGCCAAGCGAACACACACACACACACACACACACACAGACAGGACGACTGCTTTACCCTCCCTTCCACGCCTACGCGTGGGCTCGGGTAATGACAACCCAACTGCATAGTACCCGCCTACGCAAGCGTGGCGAGTCCAAAAAGACTAAGTTCCATTTTGGGTCGTCCCTAAAAAACGGACCGGACCGGACCAACGGACCATGGTCGGCGACAAATCTGTTTTACGGACCCGAATGGTCCGCGACATCTCTATTTTACGGACCACTTTGCTCACTATACCGGTAATCTTATAGATGCTAAAAATTATAGCTAATGCTTAGGTCAAGATTTACTCTTGCTGAAATCCTGCTTCTCGGTTAGATATAAGCCCAAACTCTCAGATATTGTGAATTTAACAAATTTATTCATGAAGCAACTGTGTACAGCCTGAGCCTGGTACTGAGTACTGAACTTGGATGCTGTGTAGTGACTAGTCTACAAATGGTTTAAATATCTCTTACTTATTTTGTGTCACTGTACAGCTTAATGTGGCAAGCAAATCTTGTTCTAAATTCAGTGGAAAAACAGTTACAAATTAGATATGTAATAATAATTGCAACTTCTTAAATTTGTCAATGACCACATATGTTGGTACAATTATTGTGGTTGATCATTTTATGCATGAATAACTTTAAAAATTTAAGTCTATACTTGATAACATAACATGCAGTGTATGTGAAATGTATGCATGCAATAAAGACCACTGAAATATGGCCCAGATATTTGTAATGATTATATTCAAGAATTTACATGCACCTTTAATTCATAATAATTATTCAGAATTTTAAATAACAATAACACAAAAACTTTGGTACTTATATCTATCACTGCATAAGTGAACTACACAATCAAAAGATATATATTACAAGCGTTCATGCAGTTAATTGGTATAATCTGTACTGTCAATACTAATCACTCAAGATCTCCAGCCTCTGACATTATACTAATGAGTGATACCACTGTGCTGTATTTTTTTTTAAACTTCTGTTTAGACTGGTATATTTATTAACTATTTATTCTGCAAATAATTATTTATTTATCTATTTAGTAGTTAAGCTTACTCCGAGGCTTGTGGTATTATTCACTAGCTTATTCTCACAAACATCATTGCTATAAAGATTATTAAAATTTTTACTACATGATACTAACAAGAACTACTATTGGGATCAGTTCCAGTATTATTATTATTTATGTTGATTTATTTTGCATTAGATTCAGTTAATTATCATTATTATTATTATCATTACTACCGTTTTAATTTTGATGGTATTTTTACTTTTTCTTATTAGTTTTTTCTTTCTTTTTCTTTCTTTTCTCATCTTTTTTCTTTTTCTTTCTGGCTGGCCATGTTTCCTTGGTCAGGCCTTTGGTGTTTCTTTTTATCTAGCCTCTTAACTCTATTCTCATTGCCGGTCACTGTAAAGTTTAAATAAATAAATAAATATATAAATTGCTGATGCATGAATATAACAATTGATTATTATAGTCTACTAGATATAACATTATTATTAGTTTTGAACAAGTATAAAATTAATTCAAGTTGATATTACAGACTTTATCAATACAATAAACTACGGCCTCACTGCATTGTATTATGACTCAACAGATAGTAGATCTCTCTCCATAAATAAAAATTATATTTTTCACTGAAGTGATGTATGTTGTCTAGGCCATCATGGAGTTTGCTAGCATCATAAATACTGATGCTAGCATAGATATCTATGCTCTAGGTCGGTCAGGTCCGTGGTCATTAACGCGGAGTCCGTACTTTAGTCTTTTCGGGTCCCTTGGTCGGGTCAATAAATTAGTTTGCATCGGGTCCGTCGCTCGGTCCGTAAATTAGTCTTTTCGGGTCCGTTGGTCCGGTCCGGTCCGCTTTTTAGGGACAGCCGGTAAAGTTTATGCGCGCATATTGGCGCGCTCTTGGATCCAAATTACTGTTTCATTGTTATCTCTTATCCTGCTAGTGTTGTGCAGTACTCTATTTCCTGTTTTAGTTCTAGTTTTAGTTCTACCAACTACTCCATTTCTAGTTTTAGTTTTAGTTTTAGTTTTACCAGTACTCCATTTCTAGTTTCAGTTCTAGTTTTAGTTTTACCAGTACTCCATTTCTAGTTTCAGTTTTAGTTTTAGTTTTACCAGTACTCCATTTCTAGTTTTAGTTCTAGTTTTAGTTTTACCAGTACTTCATTTCTAGTTTCAGTTCTAATTTTAGTTCTACTAGTACTTCCATTTTAGTTTTAGTTTTAATTTTAGTTCCATGCCAAATTCTGATTCTGGCCTTATAGTTCTAGTTCTAGTCCTACTAATACACCATTTCTAGGTGATTTTTATAATTTTTTAATGAAATTTAATTTTAATAACTTAAAAGGGTAGCACTTTAGTTCTAGTTTTAGTTTTAGTTATTCAAAAGGGTACCATTTTAGTTCTAGTTTTAGTTTTAGTTATTAAAAGGGCTCCATTTCAGTTCTAGTTTTAGTTTCAGTTATTAAAAGGGTAGCGTTTTAGTTCTAGTTTTAGTTCTAGTGATTTACAAGTGCACATTTTAGTTTTAGTTTTAGTTTCAAGTCCTTAATAGCTAAATTTTTAGTTCTAGTTTTAGTTCCAGTGCTTTAATTTATCAAATTCTAGTTTTAGTTCTAGTTTTGGTTTTTTGTATCAATGTAGTTCAGTTCTAGTTCTAGTTCTTGGAACTAGAACTAGGAAAAAAATAGGTGTACTAAAATAGATTTAGTTCTAGTTCCGTTGGAACTAGCACAACACTATATCCTGCTTTGGTCATCATACTTAGCTGCATGCACCTGAAAACAGTAATAGTAAAAACAATGCAGATTAGGCCTGTGAATTTGTGCAAACAAAGCCTAATACTGGGCATAGATACTACATACAGGGGAACTAGCTCAATCGGAAGATTGCGTCACTAGTAACGACGAGGTACTGGAATTGAACCTGGGTTCTCTTAATATTGTTACTATTTTATATAATGATGATATTGAAAATACTCAAAGACCAGACAATAACTGTTTGTCTATTTATAATGCATGAGCATAAGGCATTGAATAACTCATCCAGTGCATGTTATTGTAAACCCAGTATGAACAGCTACTGCAAACATGCTTATGATAGCTACTATCTATGCAGGTATATGCATAACATTATTAAAACTATAAAAAAAACTGCAATGATTAATTACTAAATATTTGAGTACTCATATTGCTAAAATTAACACTAGCAAATGCTTGGAGTGATTAAAATTGAGACTGAGGTAAAATGTAATAAAGCAGGGAGGAAGTATGTCTTATTAAAGTCATTTTAAATTTTTAATCATCTTCAATTTCTTCCTTAGTAATAGCATCCACATTAGGAAGGTTTATCTTGCTCTCCAGCTTTTCAACGGCTTTCTTCATTTCTCGGGTAAGGAGCAGATTTTTGAGCACATCAAATAACAGTATGCACACTTCCAGTAGAGAAATGACACTAGCTCCAGTAAACAAACCAAGCAGACCTCCCATATCTGCTAACAGATTAGCAAATGTATAAGAATAATCAGTGAATAGCTGAGTAGCCAACATTTCATCAAAATAAATATAAACTGACAGCAAGCTAGCTTCAACTTCTTCTATGGCTGTGCCAAAAGATTCTGCTGCACTTTCAGATGAGTCGCCTGAAAATAATTTGGAATAACTTGGTTCGACATTGTAGGTAAGGTGATCACAGGATAAAGGACAGTTTGTTGATGGATTGAATGTACGTCTTTCTTGAGAGAGACAGCAGATATCAGCTATTGTGCAATTACGAGTGTTAACATTTGATGAAGGATTAACTTCAGGAGAGCAACCACACTTGTTAGTATCAGCATAATTTCTGTACTCAGCATCAATATGACAAGTAGAAGCAGTGTAAGGTAACCCTGGGAAGAAATCAAGAGATCTGGTGTTACTGTTAGATCTAACACAGTTTGACTCTCTGGTCATATCAACATGCTTTACTATTTCTATAGCCAGA